AAGAAAAATGTCTTCTGATTCTACAATCAGCGTGGTCATCATTTTCTGGGCGCGAAATTCGAATTCCGATTCGCGCGAGGGACATTTTCAAATGGATTCTCTCCACGGATTAGGGCTGCCTTCCACAAAAAATTGAACTGCAAAACACCACATTGGCTTTCATCCTCTGCTTTGTCCAAGATCCATTCTCAAGCTATTCACTGTCGTTCTGAGTAAAATCTGCAAAAGGCAGAGTCGTTGTTTTTTTTTACCTCTGTTTGCCGAGCTGCTTAAAGTCCAATATTTATCAATTTACTGATACAGGTGAAAACGTCCAACAGACCCTCCACTCTCGAGATATTTTGAAAAACCCCGTATACCGCTTAAATATATCTCAAAGAGAATCCTCATTCCTGTTGATTTTCCCTTTTGCGGCAGCGCACGCCGAATGCCCTTTCCACTACCCCCCGGTTTTACTGTCGATCAACTGTCCGCTTCGTTTTTGAATGGAGGGACACATTGAGACATCTTTGGAGGAAAAATGCCTTCTGAATCTCCACTCAGCTAGGTCACAATCCCTTAACCACGGTTAAGTAGAAATGTTGCCATAACGGCCGTGTCTGGCGTCCTTCAAGATCCTCATGCGTCAGGCGGATTACGGCTTGATTATTACAGTTAAGCATGGTGTCGCGGAGACTCTTCGCCACCATCGTTTGCGCCGATGATACTTTATTCTACGTTGTATTCTGTGTCGCGCGTACTACCAATTTTTTATTATATCTGAAGTGTGAATATATGTGGACATTAATATCGGTAGGGCTTACCTGCAATGGGGACTATGGGCGCGTCCGTTGGACCGATTTTCATTAAGACTCTTGCGGCCTTATGTTTGCTTGTTAAGATAAGCTGTGCGTCCACCTAGCACTGAGCTTGCAGTGGGCAGCCATCATGACCCGTCTGGCATCGTTGTTCATGACCACCCCTTTTCAGTTAGTGAGCCGTTCTAGGCGCGCTGACCTGAAGTCACACGACCGACAGCTCCGGCATACCTGCGTCCGCACAGCCGCAGCTGCCCGTGCGGCCACTTGAACGCACCTCCCCCCTGCAACCACAGCCTAAGCCACTGGGACACCACCCCCCCGGAAAGTGCAACACACACTGACTGGACACCTCGTGAGTTTGGCCCATGAGCCTACAAAAGCGGCTGCCACCACTGTCCCATGGACTCTCCGGCATGACCAGAGGCAGTCAACACCAGCAGTGGCTTCGCCGGTAACCACTGCCGCCTGAGAGGGCAACTCCGGATTCTGTGCACAATAAAGCCCTCACTCTGGTGATATCTGCCTCGGGATTTGACCGCCTGATTGTAACGCGCTGATTACACACTGCACTGGTTAGAGGCCAAAAAGTCCACCAGGCTATGCACTGTCGAGGTATTTCGGCAAACTCCACTTAAGCAGATTACGCCTAAGTTTGCTCCGTAGATTTTCCTTTCTATATGACTTTGAAGAGCATGACAGAATTCTTCAACACCCCGCCTCCCCCCTTCCACCCGGAAGACGCCCCACAAGATCGACTTCATTCGCCGATTACCGATATACCGGCTGACGGCGCAGACCGATCGGCCACTTCACTAGGACCGCGCTGCATCTCATCGACTGTATAGGCAATCCCCATGCAAGCAGGAATTGCAGCGGATGCCAGGTGCTAGCCATGGCGTTCAACCAGCTTGATGGGGGGAGGGGGATTAAACATTTGAATACTCCTCTACAATATCTGCGCAATCATCGAATCCGCAGACCATAGTTCGCAGCCGTCCATGTCAACGGCCTCCGACAAGTCAGTCAAATCAGGGATCAAACAACAGAACTGCGAAAGAACAGCTGCTCCGTTGTAGAGAACGACACATCAACAGAAAATACGAGTGAAGTAGTCAGGGAGAAACGTCTCTTTATTCGGGAGTTTCCACATCGAACGCTAAAACTCCCAAGGAATGGATTTCAGCAGATCAAACGCCCTTCGAAGGTCTTATTAATAATATGTTGGAACCCACTGAGGCAATTGAAGTGCTGAAAGCCTTCCGTCTTGGAAGACGAGTAAACAATCAGTCAGATTCAACACCCCAGACCTCTCATACTTCTGTTAGCTTGAAGAGAGCTAACAGGGTCGATTCTCTCTGGAAGTTTTAGGATAAAAGACTCCAGACACTGAGTTTTTTTCCAAACAGACTAAAAGCCAGCAGGCAGACTGTAATGTCTGTTATGTTCCAGCCGTAACGTTTAGCAGTTGACCGGCCTCCAAATCTTCGCAATCGAATGCCCAAAAGAGAACTCAACAGCATGGGTGAAGAACACGCGTCTATGGCCGAACTCCTAACGCAAAATCTGATGATAAAGGGTAGATATAGGATGTCTGAGGGCAGCGTGCACGTGAGCCAATCAGATCATGCCCTTGACCTCTTAGCATGTCGACCGGTCTGCTGACTCATCT